TATAACTTCCTCCTGGTGTAGAATGCCTAGTTAACTAACAGAAGCTTAACCAGTATTCTTTGTACTAGCAACACACCAGATATTTAACACAGATGGGCTGTGCTGGCAGCTCCACGAACGCAGCAAGAGGCCTTAATGGAAGAAACAAGTTGTTCCCACTGGCTGCTGTAAAGCAGAACTGGTAGCACAGAAATAACACAAAGTTTGCTCAGCACAGGTAGCACAGGTACAACTCCGTGAACAGTAACATTGTTCAACTAGCCAATTAATCTAACGCACCCCATCTGCAGGTAGTGTTCATTTCAGCAGAAGAGATACTGAAACATCTTGGGAGGTCAAGCAGCTCTGGACTGCAGGCAAGCCCATTGTCTTCTGCAGCTGAACAGGGACATCACTATGGAATATACAGTTTAGTTCTGCAAAGCATTACCTGTTTTGGGGGCCTCTACATTATAAGCAGTAATAACCCACCACTCCTGTGCTGTAAGAAAATGTTTTACTTCAGCAGGGCTGAAGCACAGCTTCTGATTTCCCCCTTCCCCTCACTGTAGGGTCCATCAAGCAGTTCATATGGGGGAATCCGTAAAAAACAATGAACTAACCTTTTACTTGCTCTCCCCTTCAAAGAGCTCCAAACACTGCCCTAGTTACTCAGTTAGAGGTAACACATTTCCTCAAGATAAGCAACACAGATAGGGATGCAGCTGAATCCCAAGTGCGTTGGCTTAAACATTAAAATGGAAGCAATTCATTGTGGTCCTCCAGTATCACTCCCATCCTACCCCTGGATATCTCCACATTGCATTTCTTATAAAATATACCCACGATAAAATAGATCATCGTTATATATATAAAAGGAACGATGAAGTTGTTATACTTGTTATCACCACACTTCACGCGGACTCTGGCTAGCATCGCTGCTTACATCCCAAACATTTCTCACAAGAAAAAAAAGAGTTCCAAGTTTTAGACCTGCAAGCCAGTAAGCACCTAAGCAAGAATTAAACACACCACTGCCTGAAAGACTGCAGTGAATAACACAAGCAGCAATCTGATAGCAGGTCGCAAGTCTGAGATCTTTCGGAGCATCTACTTAAAGAACAGCTGCTGCTTCGTGCAGACACACCAGCCGGGCTTGAGTCCCTGGGCAACCCCAAGAGCAACCGTGCCACCAGAGACACACTGGGACGGACCATGCAGGTTCTTGCACCACCTCCTGCGCCAGCCACAACACTACTTATCCAGCTCCAAGAAACCTTCTTGTTCTGCCCCTTCCAGCCCAGGAGTTCAACATGCAAGAGTCCATTTCAGGTAACATGGCTGACACTGTATCAAAGGTTTACTCTTGAGGTTTTCTGCTTGTTTCCAAGTTCCCATCCCTGTATTATCCAAAGACACAAAAATTTTGGAGAAAACCTCATTGTCTGTGGTCGAGCGTAAAACCCCAAGTGCCAAGCAAAAGAACCTGTGGCAAGACTGAGACCTGAACACTGATATATTGAGACTGATAGTACCCTCTAAAAATCCCTAAGCAGCAGCTTTCCTTCCCATCACTTCCTTGTACTCAAGTCTGCTGGGATTACTTCTACTTGATCCACATTCTGCAGGTTTTATTGCCACAAGGGGCAACAGCAAAGGTCAGAAACTTCCTGTTCCCCTCATTATCCTGACAGGATCGGTCACTACACATAAGATACCACTACTTTTCCCAGAGACCAGAACAAAAACAAGATGATGATATGAACACTCTCCACGGGGTTTAAAATAGCTGGTGTGTGAACAACCAGTGATTATTACTTAATTAGTTAAGCAAGACAACCATGGTTAACTCAATTTGCGAAGTGCTCCTTTCTAGTCTGTACCTTAACTCCCATCTAACTTTTAAAGCACCTGGACTGCTAGAACAAGCAGTTTTATTTCCCTTCATGTACTTTGTTTGTTGGAAATGTTGCCTACAACCCCATCACCTTCCCTCTCCTCAACAGCCACCATACTTACTCCACTGAAACACTTGGTTCTTTACAGAGCTCAATATACACCAGTGGTTTGGTGATGCTCTCACTACTTCCCGAGGCTTTAAAGACTCTTAACCTTACACAGTCCCCATTATCCCTCAGGATTCTTGATCTTTGAAAAGCAACACGAAGAATCAGTCCACAAGCACCCAATGTTAACAAAGACTCAACGCGTTTGGCCTCTCTCCTGTTAAAAACTATGGACTAGAAACAGAAACACGCTGAGAGAATGTCGAACCCTGAACTTCAGCACGCACTAAACTACAATAAAGCAGCTTTCCCTGCTTCCCAAGTCACCTGATAGAAGATATACCCTCCCCACAAAAGCCCTGCACTACCTGTGCGTGCCCCCCGCAGTCACATTTACCCTGTTCAGCATTCGCTGCCACGTCTCCTAGATCTATTCTGGCAGCAGGCATACAACACGCTCCCAAGGAGGAAGCGCTCTTTCAAAACACCTGCGAGCCCACAAACGCACTGTCGAACAGTCTTCACGGAGTATTGAGTATCGCTAAAGTAAGTGACAGAATGTTGCAGACAAGCGATACTCAGCTGGAGCGCAACTTCCTTATGTAACCCGCTACCGTACACTTATCTGGAAATTTCAATAAAGTTACACTCAAAATCCTTCCCTTTCAAGCTCTACCTATTCCATGAGCATATGTAAGCCTTCAAGCTCTCTTCAATTTTCTTCTCCACCTTAGCTTTAATTTGACCAGTATGACACACGCAGCTTCACAAAAACTTCCAAGATAACCTACAATCAAAGCAAAGGTGTTAACACATAAGCCAAGTCTGATGCTACATACTTAACAAAACAGAGCTAGCAAACTGATCTTAACTATTAGGTAGCAGGTTCACATCTGGTCCTAGACAAAATTGATATTTACATAGTATTCGAGACCAGAAACCCTATGGGAGGACTAGCTTCTACACCTGAACCTTGCATGGAGACTCCAAACTGAAGCTACACATTTTGTGGAGAAAAGGATATAAATTGCCTGCCTGACTCACCAAGGCAATAAAAGCATACTTCAATAATGCCCTCTTTTTTCCTTTTCCTAGTAAAGGATACTAGGGTGATCAAGCCAAGTATGGTTTTAAGACTGCAGGGGATTGAGCAGCAGTGTTTTCCTAAAAGCCTAGGACACCAAGTGTGGTGCACCTCCTGCTCCAGGAAGAGAAGGCACCTCGCATGCCTTTACTAGATGACTCAGGTTGTGGAACAGCACTGGCTCCATTACAACAATAAATCAGGCTATTCTGACTAGCTGAACGTGACAACTTTACTGTGCTTAGAGCTTCAGCATCCAACACCGAGATCGTCGCTCCTTGAGGAAGCAGAAGAGCCTTTCACCTCGAAGCTCCCGAAGGAGCTACGCCAAAACTTGCCGGGCAGGCGGGCAGCGTTTCGCTGCTCCGGGCGCCTTCTCCCAAGCGCGGCGGCCCCCGCTCCGGCGCGGGGTTCCTCTCTGCCCCCACCCCACGCGTGTCCACTCCCACGCCCCGAGCGATTCCGGAGGGCGAAGAGCAGCCCCCCGAAACTACAACAGCTGCCGGCGGCTGCTGCTGCCC